CCCCGCGGGGGGCGGGGCCGTCGGCCCGGGCAGGCCCCGGGGGTTCGGGTCTAAGCAAGTTCCCGCAGGCTGATGACAGCGTTGATACAGGCGTTTCTGGCAGTCCTTGGGTCTGTGTCCCGTTTGCTTTGGGTAATGCGGTGGAGCGGGTAAGAAAGGAACATTCAAATGACGATTGTTTTATAAACTTAGGTTTTTGTACAGACGAACTCTCATTAAAATAATTGGCAAAGCAATTTCACCAGAGATGTGGTGGACTCTAGGTTTGCAGCTCCTCCTTGAGGGGGGGATTTTATTCCTTTCTACAAAACCTGCTGAATCTCTAAAACTGAAGTTTTTCAGTTTAATTTATTGCTCACTTGTAAATGAGACTAGATTTATCTTTGAAATACTGGGCTTTTGTTTTAGTCGTTGCCTAAGACAGTGATTCAGTTACACTGGTACAAATCGGAGATGCACGATCGGTTTTAAGTTAGCTCACTGGGGTAAGGAACCAGGATTTGGGATCAAGCTGCTGTGACTAACCTAATAAAGACTCCAAAGTCATCTATATTTAAATGCAGTGAGAAGTGAGCTTGGAATCCAGAGTTTTGGGCATTATGTGCCACCTTCAGTTAGCACTTCAGGTTTTAAATAATGTATGTGTTGAATGCTCTTAGAAACCATTTACATCTTAGGAAGGTGGAGAAATTTAGCGGTAGTACATTATGCAGTTAATGGGATTTTACACTGAAACAGCTTAATACCAGGCTCTGAAAAACTGCATTTAATAACTGCTTCATCAGTATAGGAAGGAGTCGCATTGCTGCCATCTTAGTACCTGTATGCTGTGCAGCCCCTCTTGGAATAAATTTGCTTTAATGCAGATGCATTTACTGAAGTTCATTTCTGGCCAAGCCTGCAAATTTAAAAGCTCATGTGAATCTAAAACCATTAGTGTAGTAGTGACAGGAAAGGCTGAGGGAGCTGGGCTTGTTCAGCCTGAAGAAGAGAAGGCTGAGAGGGGACCTCATAAATGCCTACAAATATCTGAAGGGTGGGTGTCAGGAGGATGGGGCCAAGCTCTTTTCAGTGGTGCCCAGTGACAGGACAAGGGGCAACGGGCACAAACTGAAGCATAGGAAGTTCCGTCTGAACATGAGGAAGAACTTCTTCCCTCTGAGGGTGACGGAGCACTGGAACAGGCTGCCCAGGAAGGTTGTGGAGTCTCCTTCTCTGGAGATATTCAGAACCCGCCTGGACAAGGTCCTGTGCAGCCTGCTGTAGCTGACCCTGCTTCGGCAGGGGGATTGGACTAGACGACCCACTGAGGTCCCTTCCAACCCCAAACATTCTGTGATTCTGTGATTTGGATTTCTCGGCGTTTGGATTTTGGCGTGTATGAAGGTTCAGACTTCTTCCAAGGAATGACAGAAAGGTGTAGAACTCAAGATAAAACACAAACAAGTTATCACAGGGCTAATTATGGTGACAGCTTCATGTCAGTGACTCCTCCTCTGCATGTGTTCTACCCTTAAGTATTACACATGCAATAGGGCTTTCCCAGAACTTAAAAAGCAGCTGACAGTGCAAATTTATAGTACATTTTACGCTTACATGTTACAACATAAAATCCCATTAAAAATTGGAATGTAAAATGTTACATTTTACATTGACCTTAGGTAATTTTTGCATTGCGTACCGGACAAATTTAGTTTATGTGACTGTTACCTTAGCTAGTACTGTCATTATGGGATGAGGCTTGCAAGTAACTTCTGCAAGTAAGGCAACTCCATTAAAATAAATAGGATTCTTTATGTTAACCTCACTGACATTAGAAAGAGGAACACAAAGACATACTTAAAAGAATTTAAGCTAGTGAACTGATTAAACTGAACAATGCATCCTGAGCCTCTCGAAGGAAGTTTGAAACCCAATAACCATATATGGTCTTTAACATTCTTGTGCAACTTACATTTGCTACTTCTAGGCAAAACATGTGTTTGTTACATGGAATGTAGTTGACCATGAAGGACATCTCCAATAACCTTAGTGTTAATGAAACAAGGAATAAATTAAGCATCTGCTTGCATGCATATGTGTCTATAAAAAGAGTGTGGATGTGTGACAATCTCTATACATCTCTATCTGTATCTGTATACTATTGTAAGCAAATGTTATAATTAGAAATACTACAATGGACTATATTGAGTCAAATTCTGACTTCAGATTCATCCGTGCAGTTCCTGTGCTGAAATGAGTGGAATTTGGAGTATTGCAAGCCAAATCTGTACTATGCCTTTGCTGATTTGGCATACTCTACACAGTATGAAAGAATTAATTCTACTGACTTTGCTATGACAACTAGAACTAGGTGCAAACTCTTTTTCAGCTGACATTGTTTGTAACGTATTTTTGTCTAATAGTGTTTGCCATCATCTGGGTTAATCTACACAGTGGTGAGGAGGATATGTGATTGCAGCCACATGGGTGTACCAGTGCTAGCTCTAATTTATCTGTCCTGGGTAAAAATGAGAGTGAAATAGTAGGCTGCAGAGCTACTGTTTCTCCACATGAAAATATTCCAGTCTGGCAAGGGTACTCATGCTACTGTACCACCACCTAGCCAATGTGTGGGCACACCTGGCACCTCAGAGAGTTCAAGTGTTAAATGATGCTGCTATTGTGTAAATAAATCATAGTTTAAAAAGACTTGTTTACATGCTTATCTGATTTGCCCAGAAGGGATTTTACAACCATCAGCATAAACTGGTCTATGCATAAAGCCAAACTGAGGGAAGTCAAACATCTTTTTTCATATGCTTAATGTCACACAGATGTTGAAGTGACTCATGAGGCACAAATCTACCTCTGTAAGGTAATTTGAACCTTCGATCTTTGTTTTTGGAGTATGATGTTTGGTCTACTCAGGAGCACTGAGAAACACATGTAGAATAGCTGTGAAGGGACTTTTCTACGAGAGAACCTTGCCTTCAGGTAAGTAAAAGGGAGGACTGTACACTCACAAAGACAAGAAGAGTTCCGAGGGACTTCAGTGGGAGAAACGCTTTAACTGCAAATCAGGTTTTCAGGGGAAGCTTTCCCCAGCGTTTAAACTTTGAGGTGGCCACAGGCTACCTAAGTACTGCTTGCCTTAGCAGTGGGTCAATCCAGTTCTCTTTTACATACAGTGAATCATAGAACTGGCTCTGTTCATCTTTCCTCCATGTGTTCAAATGCAAGGCATTGAAGAAGACTCTAAGAAACTAATAATAAATGATTGCTTTTAAATATGAATACTGAAGGTGTGATGTATGTAAAACTACAAAAAGATAGTTGCTTTTACTACAAATGCTGCTGAAGAACTTGCTTGTATTTTACCCTGTTAATATAATCATAGGTGCTCGATATTTGTAGGTTCTTAGTTCTGTTAGGACAGCCCCATGTCTTTCGGCCCTATTTTGTGAAACACTAATACATATGAAAATATTTTTAGTGGCCTAAAAAAAATCTAGAGACTACAAAATGGGAATGTGTTGGTGCGTCTTTAATTTGCTTCAAACATTGTGAAACAAAAGGTTTTGTTAAAAATTAAAGTCCTTACCATTGCAATACACTGATTTTGGTATAATTATACAATAGAGTTTCAGAGTCTAATATACACACAATCAACTCCTGATTATCTATAGCTACGTTGTATATCTGTATCTCAGGCTTGACACTACACCTGAATTACTTAAGTTCCTTTCAGCTCCCTGGGAACGGGGCAGGGAGAACTGCTGAGAACTATAGTAACTGCTATACAATATGGCTTCTTCTTCTATTGAAATATAATTAATTAGCATATTTCCATTAAACTAGAAGACTGAAATTTGGCACACTTGCATATTGTCGG